CTTACAAGCTATTATTTATTGGCTACTCAAAGGGCATACAGTCTGTTTGGACAAGGCGAAACAAACCAATAAATTATGTTGCGTAGTCAGCAACAAAGCATTCTTGCCATGAGTACTCCATTGAGTTTGAGGCAACTTGTAATAAGGAAAATACTTCTCATGTTCAATGAGGTTGCATTACGAAATTGATGAATACAGCTAGTAGTTAGAATCGTACATCGACCATATGGACATGCCAGCCACACAATTCGCAAATGTAAGGATGTCCTCTTGTAATATGTAAAATATAAGAGTGAGCATCAGGATGAGGTTTTCATTTTTAATTTAAATTATTGTATGTATAAGAAAATGCAAATTTTAAAATTTCAAAATTATTTTCCAAGAGCCTGGGTTAATAAAAATTTTGAGGAGCATATTAAAATGGTGCAAGTCCAAAGATACGTTTTTTTTTTTGCTTTTCATAAAGAAATGAGATAAGGATGTAATAAAAATATTAAAGTGCATCTCTATAAGCACAAAACTTGGTCGGAGTAAAGAGACACGTTTGAGAACGCTCAAAATTTCAATATGCAGAAAAACCTTTAGTCAGTTGGTTGCAGAGCCTCATGAAGCTAACTTAAGGGTTTCTAATATGAAAATTAACTAAAAACCACAATAATTAAATTATAAAAAATCAGTATAAAAATATCATCGAAAAATCACATTGAGTGATGAGGCCCATTTCAACCTCCAACACGAATTGTTGAAAATCCATTCTCACAGTGTAACTGTTTTGTGCGGTTATAGTCCGACAGGATCATTGGGCCGTACTTTTTCAAAAATGAAACAGTTACGCTGAATTAATTATGCTATCGACAAAAGATTAATGGTTTTTTATTACCCGAATAGGATGGTATTGATCTGGAGAACGTTTATTTTCAGCAAGACGGCGTTATGTGCCACACAAACGACAAGACCATCGATATTTTGAGGGAAAAGTTTCAGGATGATATTATCTCTCGAAAAGTTTATCACAAATGGCACTGAAATGTTGTGATTTAGCACCTTGCGACTTCTTCCTTTAAGGCCTCGTGAAGGATAAGGTCTAAGTCAACGTCGATTCAAAAGCTCAAACCGCATGGTTAGCATTGCGTACTGCCATTGGAAAGTCCCGGGCTTAAGTTCTGGAACGACCAACATCCAAAATTTATAGAAAATTAATTAAAGAAAAAAAATTTGTTAAATTCTTTAATTGCCGTCGCCCCTCGGCAGAAAATGTCAAAAAATGCCTCCGAGTATATTTCTGACATGAATTAAAAGCTCCTCTTAAAGAAGTCAGTTGAAAAAACATCAGGACGCAAAACCACAAATTGAAGGAGGAGCTCGGCCGAAGATCGCCTCACCGGTTACAAAGCCCCAATTATATATATAAAACCCCTTTTTTGTACCATAACTACAGTCCCATTTATAAATTTCTAAAGACTTTCCCATTTATGAATTTCTAAAGACTTTTCTTGTCACGCAATTCCTTGAAAATAACACCGAACTCTTCACAATACCAACTTTACATATACCTGTCATGCATTCTTTTTGATCAACCTAAATCGAAGAATACAACGCCCAACCGTTTGATATTCATAAGCTCGAAACATGTATATGTGTAACTATATTTGCATGTATGCGTACGATATGTTCCTTAACAAAATAACGACACTGACAGCAACAACTTGTTTTTGCATCATTGACATTGTTGCCTGCAGTTGTTGTAGCTAACGACAAGCTGCTTGCATCCTGCTGCCTCTTGTCGGTGCCCCTTATTGGTAATGCATCGATTTGCATCAGAGAATCAATGGCAGTAAGAGGCATTCATAAGGCGAATGTCATGGAAACCCCACGAAAAGGCAAAGCAAACTATGCAAATATAGGTGTGTACAATGCATAAGGATGTACTTCTCTGTATTTGATATATTGTCTTTGACGTTGTCTCGGCTGCTGTCTTTTCGAGTGCGCCGCTCAAGTGTGATTTGTATGCGATGAAATTGATTTATGGCCTAGCTTTGCATCAGAATTAACTCGCTCACATACACAGACACAAGCGCACTTAAATGATTAACATAATAAATTATGTTATGTGCTCTCTTTTGATATTAAAGAGCACAGATGACCGGCAATAAATATTATTAAGCCTGTGAGGAAATGTTCAAAATATATCTCTTTACCAATGTAGCGTTACACATAAGGGGGTTCTTTTTTTTTTTAATTTACAAGGATAACGAGTGCCCAAGTTGCATTATTATCCTTCCCAGCAGCCATAAACCTACAGGCTTCCGGCGGCGCGAGAGATGGAAAGTATTCAACAGCATGGAATTTTGGCGAACAAAGTAAGGTTGGAATCTTTGCCTAGATATTGTCAGTGCATGACTTTCGAAAGGAATGTCTTATTTATTTACCGTTAGTCACCTACTGCATAACCAAAGATATGTGGCTGGCCGGCGAAACAATTACTATTAAATGAATGTCCATTTAACGGAACTGATGTGGATTCATCAATACAATTAGTCGCGAAATAAATATGCAGTCATTTAATTTTTAAGTAAGATAAGTGCTTATCTTATTTTTCACGCCATACCATAGTCAACAAAGAACATCCTGTCCTTCTTATAATATAGAATTAACTCAGACTGTCTTGCCATGGGCACATCCTCCATGTGTGCACCAAAGCGAGAGTAATCTTCATATCAAAGGGGGACAGGAAAAGACATATAAATCCAAATATTTTTCGACCAATAAACCTTATATCCTTCCTATTAAAAATCTTAGAGAGAAGGCTCGACGTTTATATACGTCAAGTGTTACCTCCAAATAGCCTACTGAGAACAACGAGAGCCCTTAACAGCTACCAGGGAGGAGCACAGTCAGCACGATGCTTCGCAAGCTAATAAACCATGGGTTGTGATGCAGTGACAAACTCTGACAACATTGCCCTCTCAGCCACTGGAGAATTCCCCCAGGTCCTAAGCGGAGAGCTACAAAGTAAGCTTTATACAGTAAGTATCTGGTGCAGTGGGTGCGGTCTGAATTAAATTCTTATAAGACCGAGCTGAAACTCTTTACTAGAAGGTACAAGCCATCTGACATATACGGGAAACTCCATGCGAGCAGGAACGCCATAAGACCAAAATATTAAACTCTACATCATCGTCTGCTTTTTCGATAACACTTTCTCAACAAAAATCCCAGAGAAGAACGAATGGAAAAATGCAGCATGTTAAGTGTCTCCAATGCAATCATACCACCTCAAATGTGACATTAAAATGCAAAGCGATCTTAAAGAAACCTTCGACTCTATGCCAAACGTCCGTCATTTGCGTCCCTAGTCACAGGGGCATCCCAGGGAACTGCGTAGCGTCAGTAGAGCTCATAATCTGTGAATGTCCGGCTTACTGTAGACAAAGGCTAGGTAAACTTTGGCACAGAAATGCTGCTGGATCTTCAATCAGTAATGGCCAAGGGGCCAAAATGACTACTTAAACTAGCAAAAAACTTCACACTAAAGACACAAAATAGGAGTGTAACTCTTATCAGCCAGATACGTAGACGATAATTTACTATATTTTGCTCCTTGTTGGTTCTGCTCCTCCAGTAAATAAAAACAAATTTTATGTATTTAGGTTGGCAAATAGACTGGAAAGCAAGAAGGGCAGTCAGAATTGGGAAGAACCTTTCCGAACCATTCGATACCAAAAGAAGTTTCAGACTAGAAAATTCCTTTACAAGCTGCAGAGCAGAGTAGGGAAGGTACAACTTTCTATAGCTGGTGGCGTACGCAGATGATATTGACATTTTGAAATTATTCGTCTCTACAACAGCGTCCTGAGGACTGCCCTCTCCAGACTGAATGAGGAAGCAAAGGACATGGGTCTAGTAGTAAACTAGGGTGAAAAGACTGTAAGACGAAATATCTCCCTGCATCAAACAAACATAATAGCATTCCCAATTCATCTTCAAAGTAACTTTGAAGTCGTAGATAACTTTTTCCATTTTCGAAGCGGTATTAATACCCACAACAATGTCAGCCTGGAAATCCAGGGCCGAATCCGTCTTGGCCCCAGGAATTTAAATTAATAAATTTATGTGCAAATCCTCATCTTCTTCTTAAATGAAAGGTAAAGTTCTCTCTCGTCGAGCGAACACCAAACTCTACTAGTCGCTCATCATTCCCGTCCTGATGGATGAGTCGACGTTAGGAGTTTTCGATAGAAAGTTTTTGCATAAAATGTATGGTCCTCTACGAGTTGGAAATGGTGAATACGAGTTATAAGTTGTCATTGACATAGTTCAGCGAGTGAACAGAAGCAGTATTAATACCCACAACAATATCAGCCTGGAAATCCAGCGCCGAATCCGTCTTGCCCCCAGAAATTTAAATTAATAAATTTATGTGCAAATCCTCATCTTCTTCTTAATTGAAAGGTATAGTTCTCACTCGACGAGTGAACACCAAACTCTACAAGTCGCTCATCATTCCCATCCTGATGGATGAGTCGGCGTTAAGAGTTTTCGATAGAAAGTTTTTGCATAAATTGTATGGTCCTCTACGAGTTGGAAATGGTGAATACGAGTTATAAGCTGTCATTGACTTAGTTCAGCGAGCGAACAGATGGAGGCTAGGCTGGCTAAGTCATCTGGTCCGGATGCATAACAATACTCCAGCTTTGATAGTTTTCCAAGCAATACTCGCTGGTGGAAGCAGAGGAAGAGGAAGACCTCTACTTAGTTAAAAGGGTCAGGTGGGGAAGGACCTGGAGTCAAACAGCTACAGTGCACTATTATTAATTCAGCTATAATGGCGTAAGCAGTGCCCACGCCAATGATGAAGAAGAAAAGGATTTTCCATAAATAAATTTATGTACATATATATCATATATTGTGAAAAAAAGCAACACTTTAAAATAAAATACGAAAACTCATTTAAAAGCTATCAACAATTTTGACTTCACGATGTGAAGTCAAGTCAATGAGTTATTATTATTTTCTTTTTCATCGAGAATATACATAAATATTTGCATACAAAAAAAATGTTCAAACTCTATACGATCCTCTCTTTGTACGCTATACAAATCCAACTGGGTATGTATGAATTTGGTTTGAAAAAAGGTAAAAATTGCATATAAAATAAACTATCTTTTGAAAAAGTTTTCTCTGATGATTTTCTCATATTGAGCCACCCAGAGTCTGTGGCATTCGAAGCTTCCAAAGCAGTAATACCAATAAAACAGATGAAGCACATTTTGAGGGCAGTAATAGCAGAGTCTGTATCCACTGGCGCAGAATTCACAGCTTTGAAAATTACCAATATTTTTAAAATTCCGAAAACTGCATATATCGTAAATGTAAAACTTGATAGTACACCAGATTATACTGCGCTGGGCGCCAAGGCGCAATATACCATTGATGGACGCATTCCAGGTGCATCACTACAAAATGTATTCAAATTTACAAAATCTCAAATATTTTTAGAGTTTTATAAAACTTCTAAGGATGCTGAAGTAAGATATGCATTATTTTTTTCTTTTTTTTTGGTTTTCAAAAACAATCTAATTTCTTTAATTCAGTTTGATTATTTAAAAAAATTATTAACCAAAGCCAAAGTCATAGGCGGTGATGAAGTTGTACCGGAGTTGCAAAAGCTATTAACAGCAGATGTTGTGGAAAAGATAACAGTAGACATCAAGAAGAACTATATAGTTACACACATATCGAACAAGAAGATTCCTTTAGATTTTGCAAAACTGAATGATGTAATTACTAAAATGAAGGCGATCGCAGGGGAGATTTTTGTTGCTCTTCTAACTTATGGCCCAGACTCGAGCATTCCCTTAACGGAAAATAAGAACATTAGCACTATAACAACAATTGATCCCACCGATCATGTAAGGGAAACAATTATAACAAAACGAGTATTGTATTTACTTAGCTATGTACATATGTATTAAAATGACGAAATCTTTTTTCAGAGACACTACAATATACCGCCACGTTATGACGAAAACTATGCCATAATATTCAATATAATTCTGTGGTTCATGGTGGCTTTTAGCTTGGCTTTATATACCATGATTTTGGCTATGATTAATATGGATCCAGGAAGAAATTCGATAATTTACCGAATGACGGCAACACGGTCAAAGAAAGACATTTAGTTTAATAAACTGCGAATTATGAATTTCAAAATAAATTTACTTAAAATTAAATTGATTTAACAAAAAATTTTGTTGAAGTATAGTATAGCCTCTTAAACTTGATTGCGGTAAAATGAATAATTTTAAAATCACCTACATACGTGATTTGTTTATAAAATAAAGAGAATTTTTATATTTCGCTAGCCTAGAGAGACCGAGTATCGGATATTTTTTGTATTATGTCCATATACATGCCCCTAAGGTATGAGAAAACTTTCAGCTGAATACATTGTTGGTATTTTTGTTGTTGCAGCGGTTAGCCAGCACCCCTTAGGAGGAAGGAATTATCACGAAACTCCAGAGCCGCAACAAAATTCTAAGAGCGTTAGCCGGCAACACCTGAGAAAGAGACAATTTTCGGGCAATTTATAATGCAATTGACCCTCCGGGGCTAGCGATACTTAGAAGAAGAGGTTATAGGCCTTCCAAAACACAGCTCTCAGGATGCTACTGTAGAGAGGACAATCAACAGACACTTGCAGAATACCGAACCACAACCTAGGTACATCAGAAATGGAGTACTCGAATTTGAGGACTGCATTCAGCACCACTTACAACAACCTCTTGACATCTATAAAACTCTTTTCCAGTAAACGGCATTCTCGGAACCAAATTACCACCAATTGCAAACGAAGAGTTCGAGCTGCCTCGAGAGTATAGCGTTATATTGGCGCAACTATTTGCATATTGTAGTCGATTAAACTCCTACCTATCCACACTTGAACCCATTCCCAACGCAGGCCTTGCTTGCAATGAGTCACGCATGGCACTAACCACCTGTTTACATGTCCCCTAAATCCAACTTCTCTTTCAAAGAAGGATGGAATAAAGTGCAGTAAAGTATGTTAAATGTTAATAAAGGCCTTTAATAATGGGTGATAATAATAATAATAACTCTCATCATGTGTTTTTCATATATCTAGCACTTCACGGTTGATTACCATTTTCAGTTCTTCTCTGTTGAAGTGCGCAAAATAACGTTCGTCCTTTCATCGGGACGATGCCGAATGTCTAGAGGTAAACGCTGTGGCGTTCAAACTTCTCAATTTGAGTTTTGCTGTCGGCAATTTTTTTTTATTCAACATACCTAAATGAACTAGTATACAACTAGTATAAATCTGATGCATAATCGGACCAATAGCAGTTCGCAGGTTATCGCGGAGTTCAAAATTCCAGGTGCTTACATGGGAAATAAATGGAAGAGAAACTAGATAGTTTACAACTTTTTCTGCAGGATGATTACATGTACCATCAACTGGTATGATTTCATCTTCGAAATACCGGTATTTACTAGATTTCTCGCATTTTAGTCTATATTCTCCGCGCAGAGATACTTTTGAAACTATGTATTTGTTTCAGAAGTCTCTCTGCGTGGAGAATGTAGACTGAAATGCGGCTAGATTTCTTTCAATATTATATGGAGGGAACCAAGGAGTGGGTTTGTGTAGTCTTTTCAGCTGAAAAAAGTTCAATATGGAGAACTATTGTATTTCTACTACTTTAATATTCTGAGATAGGAAGAGCATACTTCACATAAATTACAAAGGCATACCGGTGCTGTTTTGGGCTCTGAATTTTTGGCATACCCTGGCACCATAAAATAACAATTCTCAAACAAGTCAAGTGAATACCAAACAACAGTAAACTGAAGCTGAACTCATTGAAAAATTAAAATGCTCTTTAAGGTCATTTTAAAGAATTACAACAATTAATTGTATGACGTACGTATATAAATTTGTTTGCCAGTAATCTTTCAAAAATCAGAGAAACTGCCATAGACGGATCACTCTTCACCATAACAATGCGAGCTCTCATATCGACTGAAGCAACTGCATTTTTGAGCACTCAAAACAACGATTTGATAATTCGTTCGCCTCATGGTCCTAACTTGGCTCCAGACGACGCCTTATAATTCCCGTACGTAAAAAATAAGCTGAGAGATCAATGTTTTTCGACACCTGATGAAGTATATGGATATCAATGGAGCATATTATGAAAAAAAATAATAAAGCGATTTTTGATGATTAATATTTGGTTTTGTACTCTAAGTCCGAAGTATATAAAGGCAACCTTCATAACTTTTATTGTCCGCATGAATGAAACCTCATAACCCAAAATCTCATAACAAATAAAATTAAAAATACATGTATATACCTGCAAAGAGAGAATTGCTTAACTGCGGGTAAAATTGTAAGAATTAAGAACAAAAAATTAAATAATTGTAAATAATTTTAAACGATTCCCAAACTTCCTCCTGAGAACACTCCCACATGCACTGTATACAACACATCTGTTTACTTCAGGAGCTTACTTTTTAGCAAAGGAGCTGTTGCCATTGCTATCAATGGTGTTGCTGGCAATTGTTTATCATTCATGAAAAGTAGAAAGGTTACAATTGCGTCTTCTGAAACTGAAAATTTGTAAGTGGATTAATTTTTTTCCAACAAAAAAATTAAAATATATAGATCCATCTGACAATACTATAACTTTGACAGGAAATGTCGGATCGACTAAAGACAGCACTTGTTGGAAGTGTCATAACCCAACTAGCCAGTTTGCATACCTTCCAGCCGTACCACCCGACTGAAAAAAGGATATGCATATACAGGTTACCCACGTCGGTTGCAGCCCCAACTAAGCTTGCATACTATTACACAAATTTATAATTTTCATTAACAAATTTCATAATTTATATTTTCGAATATAGAGGCTAATCAAATATATGTACATTATATGGTAATTACAAATTAATAAGGAAATTATTTCATTTATTTATTTTGATAAAAATGTGCATTTTTTTGGTTCATTCAAAATTCGTTAGTAAAAGCCGATACTGTAAACCTCAGCCAACAATCAGCTGAGTCTGTTTTACGCAAGAAATCAAATTGTCTCTGGTTTCTATAGAACAAACGTTTTTAACGTCATCGGCAAACGGTGATAACTTTTCATTTACATGGCTCTCTCAAAGCATGGGTTGTGGTGACTTTATAAGAGAAAAGTTTCCGGACTGTGTTATCTCTCGAAAAAGTGATCGCAATTGGCCACCGATATCTTGTGGTTTAACACCGTGCGACTTCTTTCTTTGGGGTCATGTAAAAGATAAAGCCTACGCCAACAAGCCAACGTCGATTCAAAATCTCAAAGATGGAATTCGTGAAGCTTTTGCGGCATACAGCAGTCACTTGGCTATGAATAGAGAGTTTCTTAAAAAGGATACGGCCCTGTAACTGTAGTCGTGGCGGACATTTCCTCTTTACATTGAAATGAACATCCGGTAATTTATCTAAAAAAATATCATTTTGCTTCGAATATAAAAATAACACCTCTTATTGGAAAACGCTGCACAAAAAGCCATGTACCCTGGACGTACTTGAGGCTAACATGCGAAGAGAAATAGCCGCCTCTTTAACAAATATGTTGGAAAATGCAAAAAAAAACAGGTACATTCTGGCATTAGAGATCGGTGTGATCACATAAACAAATTTTTTTGAATAAATTTTAAATGATTTTTTAATTGAACATCAGAAAGATATGATTTTTATGGTTTTTATTGGGTTTATGCATTAATTCGTGTGGTTTTTTTTTCGAAAATTAAGACTTTATTGTGAAAAAATTGTTCAAAGTATTGCCCATCGGAAACTATGATGATTGCTCATCTTTCTGGCAGTTTGTCGATCTCATCCCAAAAGAACTTCTCCTGCTTGGAAGTCAAGAAGGAGTCTAGCCAATTTCTGATACCCGGATCTGAAGTGAAGCGTACTCCGGTGAGGGCATTTTGCATGGACCTGAACAAGTGGTAATCGCAAGGTGCTATGTCTGGGCTATAAGGCGGTTGAGGTAGAACTTCCTAACCACAGTTTTCCAAATAGTTTTTAATTGGCCTTGCAACATCTGGCCGAGCGTTGCCATGATGAAAAATTATTGATTCGTGTCTGGTCGCATATTCTGGTCGTTTTTCCGCGATGGCTTTTTTCAAAGAAATCAATTGTTTTCGGTAGAGATCCCAATTGAACGTCTGACCCAAATTCAATCGCTCTAATAAAGCACATCCTTGTAGTCCCACCAAATACATAGCATAACCTTGGCACCATGGATATTCAGCTTTGCCGTGGATGTCGATGGTTGGCCGAGCATCACATACGATCACTTTCGCTTTGGGTTATCATAATCAATCCATTTTTAATCGCCAGTGACAATCCGATGCAAAAATTATTTTTTTTGGTGGCGTTGAAGCAACATTTCCGACATGCAGAATCGACGCTCAACGTCTCTTGGCTTTAATTCATAAAGCACCCGATTTCCAAGCTTTTGGATGAATCCTAATAATTTTTATCATCTGGAAACGGTTGCTTGATCAACTCCTAATACTTTTGCAAGTTCTTCTTGCGTCTATCATGCATCTGCGTCGAGCAATGATCCCTTTTCTTCATGTTAAAGTAATGAAGAAGAATGAAGTTGTTCACGCTAAAACAAATTACATCTACTGAAAACGACGCGAAATGACATTACCTTTGAAATGAATATAACTACAGATGAACACGATGCGAAGTAAGAAGAAGTATTAGAGCCCTCTCTTAGAAAACCATACGAATTAATGCATACACCCAATATATAAATGAGTCAATTTAATATAGCCAACCCTTGGTATTGGAAAAATATTTTTATGTACATACATATGTCTAAATATATAATCTAATAGATATTTTATCAGAAATTAGGGCTAGTTTTTCGATTGAATTTTAACTGTTTATGCATACATATAGATAAGTATTTATTTTTAAAAACTTCAAATATAGTCTTTGTTCTCCTTTTCAACAACAAGGGATATGATTAAGAACAAATTATGCATATTTATAATTAGACACAATAGCCGAGAGGTTAGCATTGCGTTCTAACATCCGGAAGGCCTATATCCGAGTACTGTTCTGACACAACATCGAAAATTATAAAAAAATTAATTTTTCTAACCGCAGTCGCTCCTCGGTAGGGAATGTCAAGCCGCCCGAATGGATTTATGACAAGAAAATCAAAGCTCGACATAAAAATTCAATCGACCGTAGGGAGGCGGGTAAGAATAAAGTGTAGGTCTTTCCATTTTTTGTAAAAACTTCAAGGCGCACACCATGAATTGGAGAAGGAGCTCGGCCGATTCAGCGGTTACAAAGTGCCAATAATATCGTTGATGAAATTTGAAAAAATCCGAGAATATTTACTTACCTACTTATTCACTATTTAGTTTCATTTTTGTCCATCTATTTTACATTTGAATTAAATCTAGTATTTGCAAGCAGTTTAGATCCATCTGAAATATATAAAATAGAGAGAGCCATTTAAGTTCAATTCGTACAGAGCCGTACACATACATTGCAAATGGTACTTGAAGATGGTGAAATGTGTCTGTTAACTTTTTTTAAAGTTATGAATATATGTATCTAATATATAAAATTCTAGTCTCGCAGTGTTAGACACGATACTTCTCCGAAACGGCTTTGAACGATTTTAATGAAATTTTATGTGCATATTCAGTAGGACTGAGAATAACATGACATCTATTTTTACACCGCGAAAAGAACCTGGGACCGATCTATTCGAAAAATCTTAATTTATAATTTGATTTATTTGATAATTGGTACATAGGTAGCCTTTTACTTAGTTTAGCAGGAACATTACTTTTATTTCCAGGAACGATGTATTCTATGGTTTGGTTTAATATATAAAATTTTCGGAAGTGGACCAAGGTTCACCGAGCAGATATTGGATTTGATTCCATAACCAGATAGATGGAATTCATTCGGTCCCTTAAGCAGAAGCTTTGTTGGAAGACATGCCCGTGCATATATGGGATCCATTTCCTTGCATTTATGTGCGTAATTACATAGCGCGCGAGCAATTCTATAGCGTGTCCTACGACAGTTCTCTGCAAGAACAGGCTGGTGGGTTCACCAATACACTCACACGATTTCGGGCAGCACTAACACATAAGCAAATTTTTTTGCTTATCTTTCTCTTCTCAGTACATACAAATTGAAGAGGAATTCAGTTAAACGGATTATCCGTTTTATTTTATGTTCTTTTTATCCAGTAGAACGCCATTTTTTATAGTATCCGTAGCAGATCGAAGAGAATGTAAAAAAATGAAAAATATGGATAAAGATAATATACAGCTGTGGTAATAGCATAATATATTGTCGATGAATTTACTTCTTCTTTTTTCATTACTCTTTACATTGTTTTTATTTAAGGGCACCTCATATTGTACGAAAAATTCAGTTAATGGAGCAGGTTTACTGGAATGGATGATTATCACCTTGCAGAAGTAGCAGATTTACAAGTATTCGACAAAACTTTGAAAGGTATAACTGCATATTGACATTAATAACATTATGATTCGAACATTTTTTTTTTTTTCACTTAGACGTCTTTATATTTCAAAGGAGCCGCGATTATGACGGAGGCGTTCGTGAAGCTGAAAACGAATTTATTGTTGTATTGTTATTTCTTTTGTATGCTATGTAAACATGTATATGATTTATGTAAAATATTGAAATAAAGACTGAATCTTAATAATTTTTGTATGTATGTATATATACATATTAGGTCAAGTAAAGAGTTCGTTTGGTTTTTATCTAAGAGATGGCGTTATTGTCCATAGTACTAGAGTTACGTGTCGCATTATGTCATACTATACGGCGCTGAAAATGTGTTTATTCGCGTTTGCCTTTAACAGATTTTCGATTGAATGACTCAGTACGTTGTGAGCGCTCGTCAAATATGGACAACAGCAAAGAGAAAATTCGCTATAGTTTAAAAGTTTTCTTCGATCAAGGCGAAAAAGTAGCCAAAGCGGCTGAAAAAACAAAATTAAGTTTATGCGAATCGCTGCTGAATCGCAACAAAATCGACCCATTTCTGACTTACTACAACATCGAGCGCAAACGGTCGTGGTCAAAGATCTCGGAAGCGGCCCAGACGGTGGCCAGGACCGGATTGACCGCCAGGAAGGTTTTGCTGTGTGTTTGATGGGATTGGCAAGGAATCATCTACTTCGAGCAGCTTCCCTATGGCCAAACGTTCAATTTGGCCTTCTACTGCCAACAAATGGACCGCTTGAAAGCAGCATTCATCCAGAAGAGGCCATCTTTGATCAACAGAGGGCGAATTGTATTCCATCAGGACAACGCCAGGCCACACACGTCTTTGGTGACGCGCAAGAAGTTCCAGGAGCTCGGATGGGAGGTCTTAATGCACCTACCTTATAGTCCGGACCTGGCACCGAGTGATTACCATCTTTTAATGTCCATGGCGAATGCGTTTAATGGTGAGATGTTGGTCTCAAGAGAGGCCTGTGAAAATTGGCTCTCCGAGTTTTTTTCCAATAGGGACGCACAAAGTTATCATATTTTGAAAAATCAAAAATCGCTCATCTGTGTTCGTCTTGTATGGTACTGCTGCTATTTTTTACGTCCATATTGTTTTCTTTTGGTATCACTGCTGTCGCTCAGCTGTGTTCTGTTTGTCCGTCAAGAATGACGAAAATGCACAAGGAAACGAAGAGAGAATGACGTACACGTATACAAATGTAAACATCATGCTTGTCATTTCGGCATTAAGAAAGTGATAGGAAAATCGTTCTACGAGCTGACGGAATATGATATCATGCATTCCTGACATATGTTGGCTCAAATGATCGGAAGCCTTATGGCAGGGTTGTCATTTCTATGAAATATGCAGAGTAGATAAATTGTATTCAAGTGATAGGAAACATAAGTCTCAGAACGAAACATATGCGATTTCTCTCAATGAGAAACCCTTATGATGAAAACAATTTATAGTTTTCTTGAAATTATAACGGCAATTAACATTTCAAATGTCCTTGAGCATTTAATTTCATTTTTACATAAAACTTAATACAGTTTCTCTGATCCATTTTTTCGAATAGTTAAAAATTGAAGAGCACACTGAAACACGACTAACCTTTTTATCTGTCAAAAACAAATTGGCTGATATTGCCAACATATATGACAGACATGTGTAACAACATAACAGAAAGAACAGGGAAAATCTAACTTCACAACTCACGAAATTTGAAAGTAACGGATATTTTCAAGCAAAACGCATTTGCAGACGAAAGAAGATAGACTCTTAAATGCGTGAGTATGAAGAGCTTAAGAAACTAGTCGGGTACTCGAAAATTCTATGAAAAGATGCTGCAACTTACAGAAAAAAGACTTGAGAGAAAAGAATCAATACACACAACACTTTGTCTATGTGCCACTTTGGAATGAATGGGCAATTGAAAAGTGAAGTCCTCTATCGAACCAAAAGTGAAGTCCTCTATCGAACCAAAAGTAAATTCCACAAGTCACTTATCGTTCCCGTACATTTATATATGGTGCAAAAGCCCTCGACTTGCATATCTGCTCTCTAAGAGCACTTATCAGCAACCCGGTATAAAGGAACTTTCTACTAACAGCTGCAAACGAAACAATTGGTTTTCGGAAAGGTCGCGGTGCAGAGAAAATATAATGTCTACCTCGCAACCTTGTGATCGACCACAACACGTGCGGTGTGGTATAGATACCGAGAGCTGAAGAGGGAATCAAGAGAGTTAACCAAATAATCGCCCTGCGCCAAACCTTGAAAAAGACCCGTGAGAAGAGGATTGACACCAACCACCACTTCACCGAATTAAAGCAGCCTTCGAATTCGCGAGAAGGAGCTGCCCATATGCCGGTATGTCTGAATTTGATATCCTCACAAAACTTATACGGCTGTGTAAACTGACCTTATGCAACAGTAAAAGCTCCGTCAAAATCGGGAAAGACCTCTTCGAGCCGTTCGATACCAAACGAGGTTTTAGACAAAGTGGTTCCTTACCGTATGACTTCTTTAATTTATTGCTGAATAGAGAAGGTACAATCTACTATAAGAATGTACAGGTGCTGGTGTAGGCCAATGATAACGACATTGTTGGTCTCAACAATAGCGTAGTTAGTTGTGCTTTCTCTAGACTCGATAAAAAAACGAAGCATATAGATCTGGTAGTGTATGAGGGCAAGACGAAATATCTCTTATCATCAAACTAACAGCCACCGTACTCCCGACTCGGCTCCCACTTCACTGTCGACAGTTATAACTTTGAAGTCATAGATAACTTCGTTTGTCGTTTAACTATTATTAACACCAACAACAATGTGAGCCTTGAAATCCAACACAGAATCACGCTTGCCAACAGGTGCTACTTTGGACTTAGCAGGCAATTGAAAAGTAAAGTCCTCCCTCGGCGAACGAAACCCAAACTCTACAAGTCGCTCATCATACCCGTCCTGCTATATGGCGCAGAAGCGTGGACAATATCAATATCGGCTCTAGAAGTATTCGGCAGAAAGGTTTTGCGTAAGATTTATTGTTCTTCCCCATTGACAACGGCTAATATAGCAGACGGTAGAATGATGAGCTGTACGAACTATATGTACGGTGACATTGATATACTTCTGAGAATGATTAGGCCATTTCGGCCGTATGAATAAAAGCGCTCCAGCTTTGAAAGTATTTGATTCAGCACCCGCTGGTGGAAGCAATGGAAGTGGAACTCCTCCAATTCTTTTAGATGGATCAGATAGAGAGCGACCTGGCTTCACTTGGTATTTGGAATTGGCGCCAAACAGCGAATAGAAGAACCGTGTGCATACATTCGACTACAAACGCGTATGCGGTGCCCACGCCAATGATGAAGAAGAAGAAAAAGAAGAAGGAGAAATTTTTTAGCGTACCCTAACTAGTTACATTCATCCATAAGCCTTTATCAAACTATTTTAACATTTTCCTTCAAATAAGTATATACATACATACATATGAATATGCAAACTTTCCATTCGGCAAACTAAAATCCCATTTTCCACATTTATTCAAAAATACATTTTACTATTACCTAAATCTGATCATAAAATCTATATCTACAATTGCTGCATTGTGAAAAGTCAATGCAAAAAAACAACCGTAAGCCAATATTACTTGCAACAACAACAGCAAACAGCTCATAACTGTGATGAGACACGCAGCAATGAATGAACAGCTGGTACTATCGTCAACACTCTCGAAAATATTCTCATCACCTCTAAGGGCATATAACGGTCATAAATGATAACAACGCGCAAAAACACGCCACAAACATTCTGGCCTTCACACACACCATGCATACATAAGTGTGTATGTGCAGACGCAAACCACCAGCCCATAGGCAAAAATCGTTAAATGCCAATTGTAAAGTTATGCTGCTTACCAGCCACCCATACATGCATA